GTAGCTCAAAATTTAATTCAACAAGAAATTGATACTTGTCGTTATATTGGAATTCAAGCTGACGAAACAAGCGATAATGCATTACTCAGCTGATTTTCATTGTGCGGTATCTGAAAAATGCCAAAGTGCACGAATGTTTCATAGGTTTTATAGTATCTTCTGGTCATAACTCAGATGAGTTAAGTTCAGTAATTTTTGCCGAGTAGGAAAAACTTGGTATCCTCAAAACACCCGAAGAGCTAATCGCTCAAGGCTATGATGCGGCTGCAGACCTGAGGGCCCACAATAATGGAGTTCAAGCGAAAATAAAAAATGTCGATCTAGACGCGAATTATATTCATTGTTACGCTCACCAGCTAAATTTAATATTAGAACGGGCTGCACATCAGAATATGCAGGTTATAGTTATTTATGTACCAAGGGCACAAAGAAGATGTTTATATAGACTGTGCGTATGCGGATTTTTCTAAGGCTTTTGACCGGATCAACCATGCAATGTTACTTAACAAGTTGGAAGCTTTTGGTTTTTCAAACTCATTGATTGAACTTCTTGGTTCTTATTTGTCTGGCAGGTCGCAATATGTATATTACAAGGGTTATTCGTCTGACACATTTCTTCAATCGTCTGGGGTCCCTCAGGGATCAGTTCTGGGCCCATTACTCTTTAATATCTACATTGATGATATCACCAACCAACTTGATGTTGAATATCTGCTGTATGCGGACGACTTGAAACTTTTCTTTGAGATCAAGAATATTGAAGACTGTAAGAGGCTTCAATTAAACTTAGATCGTGTAATTCTGTGGTCCACAAACAATCAACTCCCTTTGAATAAAGATAAGTGTTTCATAAAGACTTACACCAGGAGAAAAGAGAATTTTAATTTTGAGTACAAAATAGATGGAGAAATTCTGAAGCGTCCACAATTTATAAAAGATCTCGGGGTCACATATGACACAGAAGTGAACTTTATAGAGCATGTTAGGAAGATATCTACATCAGCATACACATCCCTAGGATTTGTTATTCGTAATTCTCGGGAAATTCAAGAGCTTGCAGTGGTGAAATTATTGTACTATGCCCTCGTCAGACCCCGCCTTGAATATTCTTCTGTCGTTTGGAGTCCCATATACCAGATTCACTGCAACAGCTTAGAACGGGTTCAGAGACGTTTCTTAAAGTATATGGCTTTTAGGCAGGATGGGGTATACCCGTGTAGAGGCTTTTCGTATAAAGTGTTGTGTGAACGTTTTGAGATGATTAGTCTGGGATTAAGAAGGCAATGTGCTTATGTACTTTTACTGCATGGTGTAATTAACAACATGATCAAATGCGAAAGATTAGTGGCGATGATAAATATTCGGGTTCTATCACATAATTTAAGGTTCCATTTTATATTTCAACAACCAATACCCAGAACAAATATCATGAAATCATCACCGTTATACCAGACGCTTGAGTCCTATAAAGATATTGAAGAACAAGTTGACATATTTTGCTGTAAAAGATTGGAGATTAAGAAATGTTTTCAGGTATAATGGCCTATATGTAATGGAAACATGATAAACAACTGCTTCTTTATATTTTGCTATATTTTTCTATTGTCTCCTAGTAATTGGGCTCTTAAGCCTGTTAGGAGATATACCTTAATAATAATAATAATAATAATATATTCGAGGGCAACGTTTACAAAATCGAGGGCCTCTGGCCCGAGATTTTGTAAGTTGCCCGAGATTTATAAACATCAAGTTGTGCCCGTGGTGCATACACACTTTTATTTTTCACGAGAAAATCTAAAAAAAAGACTAATTTATATAAATAATTCGTAAAAAAAAAAATTTACGTGGCGTTGATTTTGTTGTCAAGGAGATTCTATGTTTATTGCAAACACGGCGTCTATTCACGGTGTCAACACGTATATTTTCGACCGCGGAAATGAATGAGGAAAATTGTGAAATTCCAGAAAACATTGTGAAGAAAGCGCAAAAAGCCAATGAAAATGTGTTACCTGGGACATCAGGATCCATATATGAAAAAGAATACAAAATTTTCCTTAATTGGAAGATTAAGAAGTGGCTTACTTCCAAGAATTGGTGAGTTATTCTGTTTATAAAATAATTATTTAACTGTGTTCTTCATTTTTAGTCAGAAAAATATTCACCCAGTTCCTTATGGTGAAAATACTCGATGGTCAAGACAACTTTAAGAGTGAACGACAACATAGACATTTCTAATTATCATCGTTTGACATATTTCTATAAAAAACCCCAAAGGTTATGTGGCAAAAAAATCCCGAGTTTTGACTGGCGAACAAGTCATGCAATTTCTAAAAGATGCTTCCGACAACAGATATTTACTTCAGAAGGTAAACTAAGTTATTTTTTGATGATTGTAATTAATTTAAATACGAATGTTTTATGCTGTAAAGGTAGTTGGAGGATGAGTGAACACAATTCAAGATTTTTATATAATACGTTATTCGGTGCTAGCAGAATGGAAGCAGTGGCAGAAATAATTCCAATCTAGAGGCACCTCCGAAAAGTTTAAGTTTACCTGACTAGTTTGGTATGAATAGCAAGTTTGTAAATTGTAATTTGTATCTTCGTTATTAAATAAATTGTCAAAAAATAAATAAGTAGTTAAAAATAAACAATTATTTTTTTAAATTTTTGTTTAATTCGGTTTAGCAAAATAGGGCATAATGAGAGGGCGTAATAACTCTTTATGCCCGCTCATTGTGCCCCGGATATAAAATGCCGCTTTACGTTTATTAAATCATGGATATAAAACAAACATTATATACGAGTGAAAAATAAAAGTATTTTTTGCCAATAATGAAGGTTTTTGCTGTTTTTTCTCGTTTGCCAAAACGTACTCAAATTTTAGACAACATTGTCAAAAAAAGACTACCAAGTGGGTCAATCACGCGATGGAATTTTAGTTCTCGAGTGGTTTGTACTATTTTTAAATATAAAAAATATTTATTGGAATGTTTCGAATATATCATTGAAAATGAAGATGATAAAGCCACTCTCAGAAAATCCACAGGGTTGATGAATTATTTGAAGGAACCAGATTTCAATTTTTGGTTATATTTTTTAATAAAATTATTCCAAATTCCGATATTCTTTATAGTCAATTATAACAACGGCAGCTAGATAGTGTAAAGATTCAGGAATATCTATATCTGCTTTTAAAAATTATATTCAGAAGATTAGGGATGAAAGTAATTGCGACTATTATAATGTTGATGACAATGATGATGTAGAATTACTAATATACAAATGGCAAAAGAGGTGAACGATGTTATCATTTCTAATATAACTGATAGCTTTTCATTCACTGATTATTTAGAAGCGTTTTTGTTATTTGATGTAACGTATTTTCAAGATTATTCAGTCGCATTTCCTGAACAATACTTCCTAGCAGGAGCAAAAATTTTAAAGTTGATCCTGTATCACTAAAACAAGAATTAATGACCATCTACAGAAGAGAAGATTTTGGTCAAGCTAATGGTGCTTCACTTACTTCATGTTTTTTTTTAAACAACCTCATAAATGTCTTTCAAGAAACCGTTAAGCTGCTGGAAATAATTTGTACAATTCCCATAAGTACAGTTGAAAGTGAACGTTGTTTTTCAACTCCAAAAAGAATTAAATCTTTTACGCAGAATACTATGGTCCAGGATAGGCTGTCTGCTTTAGCAATGTGTTCAATCAAAAAAGAATTGATTCAGAACACCGAAAATTTTAACGACTTAGTAGTTATAAATCATTTTGTATCTCAAAAAAATAGACGAATGGATTTTATTTGCAAAATTAACTAAGAACTTACATCAAGTTATTTATTATTGCTTTCATCATTACCAACCCGAGGTTGTTGTTTTTCAATTTTTATAAAAGGTATTTAGTGTTCCCTTTTTATATTTTGGGTTGTTTTTCAAAAAATATGTTTTTCATTTATTTTTCTTTCATTGGGAGTAGGCCTGTTATAGCATCCCCGTAGTAGATCAACGCATCGACAGTAGTACCTCAAGGTGAAGGGGAAGCCACTGTAGTGAGTATTTAAATAAACAAAAAATATGGGTTCTATAAATCTATACTCGTACATATTATCAAAAATTTTATTCTCTAAATACCCCCCTATTCAAGTAAGCCACGAGCAGCCACTGGTGGGTATTAACTCTTTTTGTAGATAGCCAAAGTTAAATGCCAAGTTTTTAAAACTTAATGATCCAGACAGTTATAGAGGACACTGCTTTCGGAGATCCTCAACCACCTTGTTGGCTGATGCTGAAGGAAACATTCTAGATCTTAAACATCATGATGCTTGGCGTTCAAGCACTATTGCTGAGAGTTATGTGGAAAACTATAACTCAGAAGATGATTACCAACAGGAAGATATTGACAAAGTCGGACAATTATAATGTAACTTCAGGTTAAGCTTAAACAATAATAACTTGTCTTGAGATTTCCAGTTGCGCAAATTTAAAATATTTCAAAATTTAAATAACTGTACTTTTAATATTTACATTGATAAACAAAAATATTTGAATCAAAATGGATAAATTAATTATTATTTAAAAATTTTTATATTTAATTAAAACCTTTTGAATAATTAAAAACTGGTTTTATTAATTTGAAATTTAGTGAATCGACTATTAGAGTGTAGCGTCGCATCACGTCGGCGTCACCAATGTAGTTGAGAGAGCGTTAGATTATGAAAGGAAAACTTTAATTTCTTTTTACTTCCCGAGCGTAAGCGAAGGAAGTATTGTAATCGAGTCCGTCGGCCGCCTCTCTACTTTTATGTTTCCCGAGTTTAACATTATTCTATATTTGAAAATGCAGTGCGATGTGCAATAAATATTTTATATCATTTTTGAGCTTAATATACGAGTATTATATGTGGAATAAGAGTGTTGCCGATTATTAGCATTATCTGTATTTGCAAAACGTTTGGGAATAAGTTACTTCGTCACAAAGATAATATCTCTTACCTTCCCAGCTCGAGTCTAATGTTGGCAAGTCTGAAACAAACAAACAATTTAAGGTATGTTTTTTTCCATAAGAGGTCCCACATAATTAAGTGAAACATTTGCCGGAAACGACACACAGAATGTCTAAAAGGTAGAAGGAAGTCAACTAAAGCTGAGCTTCCGTACTTCCGCAGACGGAAATAAGGAAACGACTTTCTGACAAAGTTATCCAACTAGCATTATTCGTATGATGTCACATTTAGGTACAATACATACACCCATCATACATACAATCAACTCTGAAAAACCACAAAACATATATAAAGTTAAAATGTTATAACTTTGTTAAATAAAACGGGTACATATATACCGTACGTTCATTAATTATTTAGATCAGTGGAAGCTGTGGACGTTAAATTGGCAGATTTTGATTGTCTTTAAGACACTCACGTGTTTGGCAAACTTTCGAATTTTTTGAAAATAAAAGTGGAAAATGGTTTTCACTATGGAACATAAAACATTCACGATTGAATCCTACTTCCGAAATGGAGTTGCCATTGAAGGCGAATGGCATTATAACAATGGTGCTGTTTTACAAGAATTCCTACAAAAATTTTCAGACTGTAATTTTATCGTTGCTGATTTTTACAACGTTGTTAGAAACACTGTGCGAGTATTTCGTGAAACAGGTAGTGTCCACCACAAAAAAGGTGCTGCATGACCAACATTGTGTACCAATGAAGTCATAGAAGATGTTGCAGAACGCAATAATCCATCAACTTCATTGAGGCATCTGTCCCAAGAAGTTGGACTTTCCGTGGATACATACCATAAAATTGTGAAAAAAAGCTCCACCTTGTCTCGCCAAACTTCATGCCTATAACGAAATTTTGCCGCCAAGTAACCTCCGAAACTACTGGACCGATTGTTATCACATTTTGTATGTACATTATGTACATACGGTAACTAACATTTGGCTAATCATCCCCACCACCAATGGGATGACGTCATCTCCAAAATTTATATTAGTAATATAATTTTATAGAAGATACTCCTGCATTTGTGGTGTGTGAATTCGTGTCGAATTTTCACCCCAGACATCCAAAATTTTTGGAAAAAATTCAAAACTATAACAATATTTTAAAATATATCTTTGAAAATATTTTCAGGTTATCATAATCATGGTAAATCGTTGGGCAGAATTTATTCCGTTTACCCCCTCTCAAAAAATTGATGTCGCCATCCCAAAATTTTGCCGAATAAATCCTATTCAAAATGTACAAAATATGATGATTCTATACTTGTGGTGTATTATTGGATTAAAAGTTTTTAAAATTCTTATATAGGCCAACTCATAAAAATTAATGAATGAGACAATTTATTTTATTGATTAAAACGGGAACGGTTCACTCCATTTTCCAGAAAATTTGGTAGTACAGTACTATTATCGTTAGTAATACACTGCACCATTCAAAGCGATATATGGTTATTTGCAAAAATGTTGACGTGATTCATAAGATTTTCTTAAGGGAAAACTCATTTGGAACGTCAGCCCAGCGCGCTTCTTTACATTTACTCTAACGTTACATACACATTTTAACTTATAAGGGTTCTCATTCTAATCTAATCTTCCAAAAAAGCTGGATTTGTTTTATTAATTTTCGGGGGCGAGAGAAGATTTCTTCGATCAATTTTGTTACAGGTTAAAAGAAAGACATGTATATAAGGTTAAAGCAAATGTAACGACATGTGCTGCACGTATGTTTCAAATGAGTTTTCCTTTATAACATTTTGTGATGACGTCATTAACGTTTTCACAAGGACACGTAAATCTATCACTTTGGATAGGTGTGGTGTGATACTAATATTGACGGACTTCCAGCTGTAGAAATGTCATAAATTATTGTTATTGCTTATTATTTTTTAACAAGCTGCCGTTAAGTTACCGACAACTATCAGCTAAGGAAGCTCTAAAGAAAATAAAAGCATTTTTAATCTCAAATGCATTTTATAGCGCTAACGTATATTTAGAGTATAATTTCAATTTGTATTTTATAGATATATAAGTACCTTCATGTGTATTCTTTTTATGACGACTGTAACTTTTAGTTTAACACAATAAAACATTACAAAGTTTTCCGGAAAATGGAGTGAGGCGTTCTGTATGTTCAATTCAAAAAGCTTTCATGCAATGATAAATTCGAACTATGGGCTCATCATATTTTGCAGAGTTTAGATAGGAATTATTCGGCAAAATTTTGAGATCATCAATTTCTGGGGAGGGGTGGAGATAAACAGATATTATTATTATTATTATTAAGGAATCGATTGGGCAGAGGCTACGCCTGTTATGCCCGCGACAAACTGAGTAGTGGTTTTATCTCAAGTATAACTTAAGAATTCTTTGTCGCACAATATGTATCATAATTTGATTTAAAACTTACAATAGATGAAGCTAGCACTATATCCTTGGGTAACGCGTTTCAACTGTCAAACACTTTACAGGATGCCCTTTGGTGCGGTCTGAGGTATTGAGAGGGAAGAGATGCCTGACTGGGGAAAGACTATTACTCAAGGCCTGATAAGTAATGATTAGATCCCCTCGTTTGCGCCTGTCTGAAAGAGGGCAGAGATGCATTTGTGCAAGCCTTTCGCAGTGAGGAGCCCGATTTTTGCCGAACGGAAATCTGGTTGCTCGACGCTGAATGGATTCCAAGCATAAAATGTCTTTTTGAAGTATGGGAGACCAGACACCATTAGCAAACTCTAGCAAAAGGCCGCACATATGTTTTGAAAAGTTTAGAAAAGACTAATGGACTAGCTCTGGAAAATGTTTTGTTCAGAAGAAAGAGCATTTTATTTGCTTTGCTCGCAACTCGCTGGACGTGCTCAGTCCATGACAAATTGGAGGTGACAATAACACCCAAATCAACGTGCGAATCTGTACATGAAAGAGTTAAGTTGTCAACGAAATAAACGTATTTCGGGTTATTATTCCCAAGGTGCAGGATTATGCACGTGTCTAAATTCAAAGGTAACAACCAATCATGAGTCCAGTAATATATTTCTGGAAGATCTCGTTCTAAGTCCCTATAATTCGCACAACTGTTGTAAAGCTTGACATCATCTGCAAACATGGCGAAAGGCTGATGATGTTCTTAATATCGGCAGTATAAACGACAAAGAGTAGCGGGCCGAGCACCGAGCCCTAGGGCACCTCACTCACAACATGGACAGATCTATCACCGACTTTGACACGAAATGTTCTATCGCTCAGAAAAGAATTTATCCACCCAAGGTTTCCTCATATACCAAGATGTTGCAATTTGTGAAGAAGCCTACGATTCGGAACCTTGTCGAAAACTCAAGATATGGAGCGACCCAGATCGATATCGCTAGTCCAGTCTGACAAACAGCGCAAAAGATTAGATTGGACAGATTTCCCAGGTAAGAAGCCATGCTGCTCAGGTGGAATTAGATTGTAATTTATAAGAAACTTGACTAAATGATCATAAAGAATGGATTCGATGACCTTGACCACGAGCGATGTCAAACTCACCGGTATATAGTTTGATGCATCAAACTTATCACCCTTGTTCTTGTAAATTGGTTTGACGAACGCCGTTTTCCAGTCGGAGGGAAGTCTAGATTGCATGAATGATTGCGCTGTTAGAATAGAAAGCGGAGTGGAAAGAGAGGCTGCACAGTTCTTTAAAACCGTACCTCGGTCATGTAGCGCGCGTAGTAGTAAGACAGACGTGTTTATATTGCTTCATATCAGCCATTGATATTATTAAGTAAAATGCCGGAATTATGCATTATTTGCAAGAAAACCAGTAGTAACAATGACGGTGTTGTGTGTGATATAGGTAGACATTCAATTCACATAACTTGTGCTGGCATATCGAGACAAGAAGCAGACTGCCTAAAGTCTGCAAAACGTAAGATCAATTTCTTTTGTGAGAATTGCAATATTATGGAAATAGTTACTGCACTTAAAACGGAAGTACCTATCACAATTAAAGGAGAAATTAGGAACTATGGAAAAGAAATTGGAAGGTCAGGGTATAAGTCAATGTGGAAAAAGGTTATCTGAAGAGGAGATAATAGTCTGAGTGTTTCGATCGTCAAATTCGATCGACGAATGTAATTATTCATAACCTTCCTGAATCAATAGCTAACTCTTCCAATGACAGGAAACAGGAGGACATAACCAAATTCTTAAGTTACTTAGATGCTCCCATAAGGGATGGCATCTCCGTTCAGAGATGCTTCAGGTTGGGAAAATTTGAAAATGGCCGTAATCGCCGGTGAAAATTACGTTGGGATCAGCAGATCAAGTTCAGTTTATTTTACGTAAATATAAAACAACTAATAATGTATATATCAATCGTGACTTAACAGTGAAGCAACAGGATTTGTCTTATAGGATCCGTAAAGAATTCAAAGGGCGATTATCTAAAGGAGAAGCAAATATTAAATTAAGATATATCAATGGAGTACCGAAAATAATTATTAAGGGAGTAAAAAACAACTTCAGCGAAGAAACACTTTAACAGCAACTCTTAATATTATTTACCAAAATGTTAGGCGTTTGAACTCCAAAGTCAATTACTTTTATAACAATATTTGTACTTGTGATGATGTACCTGTGGTATTGCTGACCGAAACGTGGCTTAGTGATAATGTATCTGGTAGTGAACTTTTCCCTGCCAATTTCAATGTATTTAGATGTGACAGAACTTCAGGACGTGGAAGTGGAGTCCTTATTGCTGTAAACGATTACTTTATGGCGCAAAAAATCCCATGTCAGTCACCAGTACCTGAGATTGATATAGTTTCTGTTCAAATTACACTGCATCGAAAATAATTGTCAATAGTCAATGTATATATTCCACCCTCTGTACCATTACGATCGTATACTCATTTGTTTGAATTTCTGGATGCCTCGTTTAACTTTGACCTATCAATTATCATAACAGGTGATTTTAACATAACTGAGCTTTGTGACTGTATGGAAGGACTTAAAAAAACGCAGTTGTATCATACTT